GCACGAGCCATCTAGTATAGCATTTGCTTTTCACAGTCTCCAACATAACTTTTGTTATATAGGTGAGTGTTGAAATGTGTGGACTGAGCTGTGGTCCAGATGGACACCAGAAGTATCTAAGGGCTTTCCAAGAGATTCTTGCTTTGTCTTTTTCTTATTCGAATTGAACAACTCCATATTGTTGGATTTCTCATTAATGACCCCTCATTTGTTCCTTCCATCAGTTTACATAAGAATAGTAGTATTGAAATTGAAATTAGTATTAAATTTGAGACACTCAAAATTGTATTTGTTACATAAACACAAACTGGCAATAAATATAACCTTTTTTATTTTAAAAACAGATACGAGTACACGTGTACATAAACACTACAAAGTGCTTATCAACTAACTTCTTTGTCAATTTATATACAGGGTGTCCCACACAGATAAGACAAACAAAATAATTTATTTAATTTATTTTTTAAATAAATGTCTACTCATTTGCGCTATAAGCACTACGTTTTTTTATTGCGCTTAACTATTTTTTACTTTTTAAAATTTTTTTTTGTTACATTTATTTTATTAATTAATGCGTGTAGAATTATTTTTATTTAAGCGCATTACTCTACTGCACTAACCTCCCATCTTAATCTTTAAACTTAAACAACTTTAAAAGTAATTATCCTAAACTGGTTGTCGAAATGTTGTCAACATTTTCAGCAAATTATTCTTAATAAAATCTGACTATCTTAAATTTAATAAAACTAATGTAACAAAAAAAAATGATCTTATCTTTGACAATAACCAAATATAAGAAGATACTCAACATGATAATAAAAAACTGACCTTAAACAATACAGCAGTAGAATTAGAGTGTATTCCTATAAATAATTGGGAACATGGATAAACAGTAATGGCGACGCTTCTAAAGAAACAAGGTGCAGGGTAGAGATTGCCAGAACAGGATTCTTCAAAATGAGGAAAATCTTTTCCAATCGCGACCTATCGATAGAATTGAGAACAAGAATGTTAAAGTGCTATGTGTTTTCCACATTATTACATGGAGTGGAAGCCTGGACTTTAAAGGAAGTGGATTTGAAGAATATAGAAGTATTCGAGATGTGGTGCTATAGAAGAATCTTAAATATATCATGGGTAGATCGAGTTACAAATTTGGAAGTGCTGAAGAGAATTGGGAAGGATTTTTTGGGCACATGATGACAGGACAGAAATAACAAATTCTGCAACACATTTTAGACGGGAAGATGTGTGGTAAAAGAAGTAGAGGGAGGCCTAGAACAAATTGGCTACACAATCTGAGGCAATGGTTTGGTTACAACAACAACCAAATATTCAAGGCGGCACAAGAGAAAATCGAGATTAACATGATGATTTCCAACCTCGCTCCGATAGGAGAGGAATTTCAAGAATAACAAAAAAAAAGTTTTTAAAAAGTAAAATAATTAAGTGCGATAAGAAACGTGGTGCTTATAGCGCAAATAAGTATACATTTTTTTTGTCTTATATTTGTGAGACACTCTTTATATAAATTGACAAAGACGTTAGTTTATGAGTACTTTGTAGTATTTATGTATACGTGTATCTGTTTTAAAATAAAAAAGGTTATATTTTTTTGCCAGTTTAATGTAACAAATACAATTCTGTGAGTATCTCAAATTTAATATTAATTTCAATTTGAATACTACTATTTTCTTATGTTTTTTTAGACGTATAAGGTTACCTATATAGTATTTAAAGTTGTAAATCTGAACAAAATACAATGCTGTTTTAATACAAGTATACTTAATCACGTAGATAACATTTGCGAGCTCTTTTATCCAGTTGTCTCATTGTTTTTGTCACTGCCGCCAATACGCTATACCGATAAAAATATTCTATTCCATAGCGACAATGCCGGCACACGTCTTGTCCTATTAAATGCCGTGAAACAATATAATAATATATGTTGTCGATACTTATTATGTGTCTGGTTCGCAACGCTCTTTGTGCATATCTTGACCGCAAATAAAGCGCAATTGTACAATATTATAGCATTACATTATTACCAACGTTTGACGATTAAAGTTAATACTTAATACTATCCGTATTGTTAGAGTAAATTAAAATTCTACTTTTTTTTGAGAGTGTAGCATTTAAGTTAAAAAAATATATCGTTTGTATCATAATAGATATTAGATAGTATAGTTAACTTTAGAAGTGATAATTTGTGTTTTTGAAATATTTGTAATTATTCATAATAGAAATACAATATACAATTAATATTGTATTCTCTTAACAGCGCAATAAAATAATATGACTAACATTTTTAATATTTTCTACTAAAATTACTAAAAAAAAAAAACTATTCTTTTATTTAGCTACAGGCTACAGCTAATTTATTGATATGTTAAAAATTGTTTTTCGCCAAGAGCATTTTTATTTAAACGATCAACGATCTTTATAAATAAATATCAAAGAGAGTATAAAACTACATTCAAGTATACGTTGAGTATGGTTTCAACAATCATGTTTTTTTTATTATTTTATTTTACTTGCAATGCTAGGAAAACATAAATAATTACAAAAAATACAGGTACGTCATAACTAGACCTTCGTCAATTATTCTTTCTCAGATGAAAGTTATTTATGGTATTTTAACTACAAATTATTAAACATCCTTAATAGGACGAACTGTCAATTATAACTGACGGTGTCAATAGCTACACATAATACATTTATTGAATTAGACAATACAGAAAATAATAATTGGATCATTATAAGAAAAATCCAGTCTTCCTTACATGATTTAATAAAAAAAATATAGTTTTTTTTAATAACTGTATTGTTTTGCGTATCTACTTATATGAATAACGATGAAATTTCTAGTTTTTTATTAAACTTAGTAAAATATTTCATATGTATTTACTATTTAATTATGCTAACACAAATTATATACATGTAAAATACAATAACGAAAGTTTTGTTACACGTTTTTAAAATATAACGACTAACATCTAAAAATTATGTTTATGATTCTTGAATGATGACGCCAAACTATTAAGTATACAATTATTTTTATACAGCGGACTAGCCAACTAGGTTTCTTAGTTTTTCATTAATAAAACTTAAAACATAATTGAATTCATTTAGTTAAGTAAAAAATCTCATAAATATAAAATAAAGAATATAAGTTTGCTTATGATTTGTTAAGTATATTTTATGGCATTGGTGTAAAACAAAATTACATTAAACAAGACAACTTGAACAATGAATGTATTTATTATATCAGTGAGGGTGATTATTTAATCAAGAGCAAACAAAGCAGTACCCGTACATAGAATGTGGTAGCGGGTGCATTAAACAATGGTAAGCGGATTTTGAGGCGGTATAGCGAATAAGCATCATTTAGGGGATTTATGTTATTATTATTGTTATTAAAATTATTAATACCCACGCACACACACACACACACGCGCGCGCGTTTAAACTTATAAATACCGAGGGGTGTAAGGGGTGTGCCTCTACTAACAAGGGGTTGGACCCAAATAATCGGTCGGTAATCGCCACGTGTGCATCAATTCCTATCCCTTCAGAGTCATTTCTTTCTCAATCGGTAGATGTAAGCATGCGTATGTACTCTTGTAAGCATATCCCCCACCTCACCTAAGACATAGATAATATAATATATAAATTTAAAATCCGCTATAGTATATAAAGTATAAACTTCCATATTAACTATCATTACATAATTACCTGTTCAATCAGGAAGTTTTAAATAATGTTTATTATTTGCTAGATCTTTTCCAAAAAAATAGTTATTACTATTATTATTATTACTTTTATTAACAATATCCAAAAATTAAGGAAAACTTAACCATACGAAAAATGACTCATTACCTCATATTAATTAAAAGGTTTTTAAAATCGTAATTTAAAGCTATAACTATACTTAATGTATGTCTATTAATATAGCCACGAAGAGTGTTATTAATGTTTTTCAGACTACCATAGCCGATAGCGTCTTTTGACAACGTTTTTTTATCATTTTTCCTTATTACTATTATTATTGGTCAGTATTATAACTAAAAAAGAATACTATTTTGTTAGAGGTCATAGAATTAACAAAATGAATAATAAAAAAAATGGCCATGTACATTTTATAGAAATATTTAATCTTTATCAAATTTATACACTATTAACATTTTGCTTGTAACACAAAAGAGTCGATTATATACCGGATGTCACATCCAGATGGTAATTGTGTAAAATTAAATATAGAATAATTTACATACTGAACAATGTTCTATAATTATTTGCCACAGCAACTTAGCTAAAATTATATTTATTTAAAAAAATGTTGAATATAAAAATAGTTAGTTCATTTAAAAGTTTAAGTATATTTAACTAGTTAAATGGGATTTCATCTCTCGAGCGTGTACAGTGTACATAAAGTATTGCATTAGTATTACGTTATTGTTGTTATAGTAAACGTTACGATAAGCAAGGGAGGTAATTCGTGGTTTTTCGGAGGCAACTAGTATGCGCCCCTTAATGATACCTGTGCGTTATAATAACAGTAGAGATAATCTTCCGCCATGTACTAAAAATAGCGGCAACGCGTGATATCATTTGAAATCTTTACGACTTACAAGTTACAACAAATTGGGTAATACATTTTCAGAAAAATACGGATTAGGTTTATCACATATGTTTACACTTTAACCACAATCACAAATATATAAACTTCCGTCGTATGTCCATCGATTCATTTTGAAAGAACTAAATATTATTGTTTGTTTACAAGTAGGTCAAATAAAACGACCCCGCACAATGTAAATGCCGCGCACGCGCATTATCGTCATTCGCGCGTTCTGGGCTAAAAAAAAAAAAAGGCCACGAAGGGCATTAAAGTTAATCATTTCAACGCCGCTTATCATTATGTAATTGAAGTAGATAAAAATAGGTATAAGAAGATAAGAAAAAATGTTTTTTCAATGTATAAATTTGACCTTTGCATCGTGGGGCCAATTGATCATCTTTATATTAACGGTAAACATGTTTAGTGTGCGAACAATAACGATAGAACCATTAGTGCTCGTGTACTTTATGACCGCTATTTTGTCGTCAAATCTGGCCACTAATTTGCTTCTTTACAAAGCGTGCGTGCCAAACACAGTCGACGGCGAAGAATGGCGGCCAGCGGCGGGCGAAAAGTGTCCGGACGAGGCGAAAGCACAACACGTTATCAGTGAAATCAACGCTTGGAAATACTTGGTTTTGTACACGGTACCGGCGGTGGTTACGTTTTTCGCAGGCCCGTGGAGCGACAGGCACGGATGTCGTCGTCGGCCGTTGATTTTCATTGCGGTCGTCGGCCAGATCGGCACCGATCTGCTGAACGCCTACTGTTCGTGGAACTGGACACTGTCGCCCAACGTCACCGCTGTCCTTCAGGTACCCGCCTTGCTGGTGACCGGCAGCACCACTCTCATGTACATGGGGGTGTTCACGCAAGTGGTCGACGGCACCGACGTGCACACTAGAACCTTCCGGTTCGGCATCGTCGTGTTCATGTTGACGATCGGTTCCACCGCGGGACAGCTGATTTTCGGGTTCATCGTACCCGCTATCGGATTCTTAAAGTCATTTCTCGTGTGCGCCGCTATGGGTGCGACTGCTCTTGGTCTGGGCGTTTGCCTCATACCGGACTTGTCCACCGACTATACCAAAGTCGGATTTTGGCAAGACGTCGGCCAAACAATCAGTCCGAATATCGTTGCCGACTGTTTTAGAACTGTGAATCGAAAGAGAAAATACAATAAAAAAATAGTGTTGCTAATAACTATACTGATTGCTGCGCCACTGACTAGTGGTGTATTTGACGGTGAGTATCCTAAGTATATTCAAAACTCTAGGGGTTCAATGTTTATAAATACTTATATAATATTAGTTTTTTTTTGGTTTGGAGTCTATATTTCGCGTGAGAAAATCGTTTTGAAATAAAGAGAGAAAAAAACGAATTTAAGTATGGTTTAAATAGACTAAGAAAAAGCGTACGACAGAGTACCTAGATAGGTATTATTAACAGTTTTGAAGAAGAATAGTATCAAAAAAATGTATATAACAAATTAATAGAGGATATGTGTGAAGGAGCGAAAACGAGGGTAAATGTGTAGTGACAGACGGTGTGAGTTATCATTAGTCTACACTTGTAGGGCCCGACTGGCCCACTGTGATATTGTGCTACAGTAGCGGCCGTGGCAAGGAAATAGGCCTCCTTTCGCAAATTTGTCAATGATAAATAACTCTGTAGAGTTGGTCAACATGGGGATTTTCAGAATGTTAAAAGTCGAAAAATCAAATGCTTCAAAATACCATTTTCAGACTATAAAACAAATTTAGATTTTTAGAATGCTAGTTCAAAGTAAAGTTTAGTAATGAGTGGGTTTGTGATAAAGGCGGATAACTCGCTAACAGTGAAGAGGGTAAACATAAAGTGATTGGATGATGTGAAGTCTATTGACATGGATAACAAGAGTAACTGAATAAAAAAATTGTACGATGTGTTACTAAGTGAAGTGAAGATATGAGAATGAGCTTGATTAGTTAGAAATAGGTATGCGAGATAGTTGGAAAATTGTGCCAAAAATTTAATTACAAAATGTTAAGTATGTGTTCAGCATCACTGCCACTATTTGTAGTCCTTAGCTTATTCGAGTTCACACTTTCTACTCATCTCGAAATCAATTATTGTGATTTACAAACAGTTAAAAAATGAGTGGAAAATCCAATTATATAGTTTACATTAATAAATATATTATTAAATGGACATTTGACATTTTGTTTGCGGATGATGTAGAGTTGACAATAGAACAGATTTAATGTTAGGAGTAAATTTAGAGCAATGGAAGGTGGCAATGAAAACAAATTGTTTGAAAATAAGCAGATAAGAGCAGAAGAAGAAGAGGATTCGGAAAATAGTACAGAACTTGAAGAGAAAGTGGTAATTGAGTAGAGAAATAGGAAGTTACAAATAGGAAAATAAAAGACAACTGAAAATAAATGCTACCTTACAGCTAATCAAAATATAATGCGTTTCTAATTCAGGTGAACTTTCACTGATGTATATGTTTGTAAGACAAAAATTCAACTGGGATGAGTCAAACTTCAGTATATATATTGGATGCACGATGAGCGTTATGATGACAGGTTTAAAATATTTGCATTATTATTTGTAATAAAGTTAATGAAAAAAATCTTAAAAGCGTTTTTTCTTAGGAACCATACTAACCTTGTGGATTATGAGTAAATTGCTTGAGATTAACGATTCAATGATTGGTCTTATTGCTTCCGTATTTGATGTAGCTACTGCTGTATCATTTCTAATAGCTTCACAAAGTTGGCATCTATATTTAAGTAAGACTAAATAGTTATTTTCAAATTACGAAAAGAAAAAAATTTTAAATTGTTAAAAAAACATATTATAAAATTAGGACTTATAATACTTTGAATAATACGAGTAGTTTTTTTTTAATTTTTTCAGTACCACCTTTACAACTATTTCGTGGCGCAGCACTTTCAATAACTGGTTCAATAACTTCAAAATGTGTCAAAGCACACGAACTTGGTATTTATAATTGACTTACTTTTTTTTGTTTTTAAAAATTTACTGTCAGAAAGCATATTTTATTGTTGTAAGTTTTATGAAACTATTTGTTAACCAGTTAAGTTTCTACATTTTACTTTGAAATAATTTTAGAATAGCACTAAAAATCATATTTGATCCTAATATTGTTTACGTAGAAATGCACAATTTATCTATAGACCAACATACTTACCAATATATTTCATAGTTTACTTTTTATTAGGTATATGTTATGGTTTATTAATGGAAAAAAAACTATTTATAGTGAACTTTTAATAATTTACTAAAATTATATTAGGTGCCGTTAATTCAGCGAGACTTGTAATGGAGTGTTCTTTGAAAGCCATTATTACTACAATGTATAATATCGTATATAGCAGGACTTTGGAAACAATGCCCAGTGCTTTTTTTATCATTAGTATAGTGTTGACAATACCGTTACTTGGCTGTTTTGCGTAAGTACATAATAAACAAAAATATATACTTGTCGTCATTAAAATTTAATTAACCAATTGTAAAGTATATATATATATAAATTGTATACGTTATATTTTTAATGTAATATGTTCATTCTATACATTTGCGTGCAATCATACTTATTTAAAATATACTCAATTATTTTTAGCACAACTTACTATTTGTCAAGGGACCGAGTGAAGTCAACTGAGTGTCAACCAAAATTACAAAATGAACTTTAGATATAAATTACTACAGAAGTATAGTACCATCAACGATCGATTCCTGCGAATTATGATTTAGTATGTTCTGATTGCCGATCTGGCTCAAATGTGTATGGTATTTAAATGTTGAAATAATAAATAACTTAAATATGCTGTAAACGTTTTAACTTTACTTGGTCTAGCTGTCTCTAGAGCTTAATCAGAACTTTAAAACACATTTGATAATGGCTAGTGGCTACCATATTAATTATTTTGTATCTTGAACCGAGGTACAAAATTATTAATGTTAGTTGGCTATTTCTATAAGTATTTAAATTATTGCAAACATTGTTAATTTAAACTTTTCACTAAGATTAATTTCTGTAACGGAGTGTTATTAAAATAGGACAGGTGCTCAGAGTCGGTATACGTTGCATGTAAATTGATGTTATTGTAACAAAATATGTATGCTATTACCAATTAAGGATTGATATACTTGAATAGTTTACCATCAAACTAACAATATCAAAAGACATTTTTATTGTCTTTATTACAGGCTATATTTAAATAAAATATTGAAGGAATACATTTTACCAACTAATCTACAAGTCTACTATAGACTAAAATGAGTTATTTCAGGGTAAGAGTGATTTATTCACCTTATACCACTACGGTTACACATTATAAAATGTTTTTATATTATAATATATTACAAGTAGACAATACGTTTAATAACAAATGTTACTATCCAGTATCACTATTTTAGCATCAAAACTATTGTGTGGGTAAAGGTATGCCTAATTAATGTTCCATACAAAATTCGACTATATCGGACTGTTCTCCTGGAAGATACAGCAATTTAATGTTGAAGGTTGAAAAACCTGTCAATTTTTTTTTTTCGGTTGTAAGGATGAAGGAATTTACTTTTTCTACTTTTGACCCACCAAAGTACAAATCCGAAGCTAAAAGGTTTTTAATTAAAACTAATTATTGATGTATTGTAATATGCTGATAAATAATGTAATCCATTTCTGAACTAACGTCAAACGTGTTACGACTTGGTTTACCATTTTAATTTGCATTGTATTTTAAGATCGGAACATGAAAAAAAATTATTCCCAGTTTATTTATAGACACTTACTACGAGTGTTCAATAAATATGAAAACTGACGGTTACCATTAATGTACATTAATATGAACATTGAAAATCAAGACTACATTAATCGTATCCTACCAATGCATTATTTTATTCATTGTACCTAGCCGATAATATTACGTACTCTGTTCCCAATACATGTTAATTAAAAATCAAACCCTGGAATCGACTTCTTTTAAATGATCAACATTGGCTTACTACATTTTTAGACGTGACATCATGTGGTATTGTAATATTTGTATACTTAATTAATTAACATTATATATTATTTAGGCGCACAATGGATTATTTTTTATTACCGTTACTATATTTTTATTTAAATTTTATAAAACTTTAATGCTACGCTAACCGACCACCAGTACTTATTTTTCACTATTACATAATTTAAAACGATGTCTGGTCGAAGTAGTAGTGGTAATGATTTCCAACCGTCTTTTAATAATAATTAATAACTACTGAGCGTTCAGTTCGACACAAAGGTCAACTGGGTGCTATGATGCCAATCAGATAAGTGGCGGGTCCAGGGCAATTCGAATAGTAATTATTATTTTGGGGGAAAAGAAAAAATATACAAGACTCTCCGAATTTTCTGTTGATAATAATAATAATAATAATAATACGCCGTCGACCTTAACTGAAATTCGATCTAATCGCACACTACCTGAATCGTAAATAATTCAACAGACTAATTGGATGGTATTTTTATTTACTTAAAAAAAAAATTGAATAAAAAACCGGATTTCACTGTACCTATACTGCTCCGTTGGCTTCGGCTACTTGTGTTTCACTTAACAGGTCTACACTCATGTTTATTTCATTACCTTACAAAATATATCAGACCGGCCAGTTAACCATGAAACCTGATATCGGTTTCATACCGGAACGTACATCAACACTGTTTTTTAAGTGAAATTTATTTTAGCCATATATTATGTTAGTATTCTATATATATGATTTTTACTAAACCGCTAATATATTATAGTAACCGATGTTTATTCTTCACGGTAGGCAAGTATTTTTAAATTGACGTTAATTTTCTTTATTTTTTTATTAGGTAATTGAATTATGCTAATTGGGATTAATTTATCGTATAGCTACATCATAAAATGCTATTAGTAATTTTACCATAATTCGTACCAATTACGCGTTAAATGTTATTAAATATTTATAAATTTCAAGTATACTTTATAGTAAACTAGTGGACGTCGCAAAAATATCACTTTACAATTTTTAGGTCTTAAATAAAAACTATTAAATAACTATAATTAGCACAAGGGTATCTGATTTTTTTAAAATTAAGTACGTTTTACGGGATAAAATATTATAGTTTTAAATAATATGAATTTAATACCACAATAATTTTGTAATTGCTTTTAACTTGTATTTTTATTAATTAATACTTGCAAACCAGATTTTTGTATTAAAATAATACTCAAAATGACAATTCCTTATTTGTAACTTAGAAGTTATTGAACAGGGAGAAATCATATAAAAGTTTATACAATAGTACAGTATTAAACTTTTCTATTTAATAGCTGTCATACGTTTTAGAGCCGTTATTTAACTTATTTTTGTTTTGAAAAAACGTGTTATACGTTTTTTGGAATTTGTGTTTTTAATGCATTTTGCTCCAAATCATTATTCTCAGTTTTAGTTAAATTGTTTAACATTTATTATGAATATTTAAAAAATGTGAAATCCGTTAACCCTACATGAATAGGACTGGCAAATAATAGTTTAACACGAGCTGTTGTCAATATTATTACACTTGATTTACAAAAACAAATAAGAAATGCGTTTAACGAAAACTAGCTAAATTCGGTAAATGGGTTATTTCGATGTTGGACGGTTTTATTACAAATGATATTTTAATTACAATATTATATAGTCAGAGAGAGGTTAGAACGTGGGCAGCAACGCGACCCACAAGCGAATGGATAACATTATGTAGACACTGCGCACAGTGCTGCTATATACCGACTCTATGCGAGAACGATTTTGGTGATTGATGACATATGATTGGCGCCGAACGGTTTTTCCTATATAGCAGCACACAAGCAATTAAGCGTGTTGTCCCGGTTAGTCCTGTGAAATTACACGGATCGTTTCCTTCACCGTGTTGACACACTTGCGTTCTAATTTGTCCACTCATTTCCTGTCGATTACCCGCATAGCAATCCTTTTTTTTCTTTCGTACATTGGATATCAGACTTCTATTGGAAGTATATTATAAAGGTACATATACATTGGAAATCCACAAACTTCCTACTCGTGATGGAAACATAATTATAAAAAATACACATTATCACAAGGACTGCGATTTTTATTAATACTTAGATATATAATTTATAAAGATAGCGGTAAGAATCCAATAAAGACAATCAAATACACACATACACCTTGTTTAAATTTTCCACACAACTCGGAGAGGATGAAAATGACCGGATCAACAGTGAACAGCACATATCATAGAATAATCTTAAAATCGTATTATAGAAATTAGATTTTTAGAAATTACACGAAATAAAATATATATAATAGTAGTATAGTCGGACCAATTAAAATGATGGCAAATCAACATTATGACACAAATGTATAGTGAAAATAAGTAAATAAAAAGTTGCTTTAACTAAATATTTATTTGACTGAATTGTTAGTTATTTCAACTATAAATTTATTGTCTACCTATAATAACCACAATTACAGGTAGTCCAAAAATGTATTTTCCGTGTAATTTGAAACTAAGAGAATTTATTTTATCGTTATATGTTATTTCGTCTAAATTGCTACAGACAAGCAAATCATATTTAAATATTTCAAATATATGTAAATATAGTATATACAATACAATAAATCTGTACCGGTCCTATACGTCATCTACAAGATTATACACGACCTACCCTATTGCACTTAACTTGAATACGACTATAAATACCTATTTTAGAAGACAAGATATAAATATGTCTATGACGAATAAATTGTGCGTATTAAAGAAACTTCAGGTACTATGCTTTAATTAGTAGCCTTTACCTACTTGTTCATTGTTTTTAATAATGTTTAAACAATTAAAATAATTATTAGTGAAATGCAGTTTATAACAGGATTAATAATTTTAATTTTAAACCTAAAGATATTTGAATTAAAAAGAAGCCATCGCCTTTTTAGACACCGAGTACAATATAAGGGTCTACCGTTATTTGGTACAATCCATTGTCTTTTTTTTTTAACTGATATTGGCACAGCTCCCCTCCATCTTAACATTTTCATTTTAGCTCCTTCCATTTTCTCTTAATCTCTCTTATTAATTACCCAACGCTTATATCCAAAAATTATTGCTGATCTTTCCTTTCACTCTAAATGGCACCATTTGGTCACACAACACCCCTGATGTCTATTGTATCTTTCCAATCCATACAACCAAATAGTTTATTGTTTATTTTACTCAATTTTGAGGATGTTCAATGTTTATCTTCTTCAATTCCTTCAATTGCTTGTATAAATAATTTTAAATGCTTACTGTGAAAGGCATGCTATTTAAATTAAATTAAGTAAAACTATAAATTGTTGTTGTTTATATATATTGTTATAATAGGGTATAGAAAGCAGGCGGTTTTTAAGGGGTTTTATATAGGCAATATTTAAGAAAAAAGTGGTTTAATAAATTTCGACTATGTCAATTTATTTTCAGGATAACTTGTATAAACGTCATAGTATACATTTTAACGTATACAATTTTTTCTATGAGTAAAAGCCATTTTGATCTTACAAGAAGCCAATTTAGGCCTAAAAGCCTGACTAAATTATGCCCAGAATGATCGAATTTTAGATATTTTGTAACCAATAATGGGAACACTAAAAAGTTGAGTAAATAGGATTCAATAGGATTTAAACAACATTTTTAATTGAAATATCAAAAATCGTTTCCCACAATAACCTAAAAAAGAGGTAGATAAACTCAAATATTTTTACAGGATTGAAATCGGACCATCCTAATTAGGCGTAAATTTGTCAGACTTTAGGCCTATAACATCCAAAAA